GTGCAGCTTTTGGTATGTTGATATTAGGTCAAGGTTTCAGCCTCGCCGTATTTCTTTGCGAAATTATTTCGAAAAAGGCTTTCCAGGGAACAGACCAGCTGTCCACACATTAGAAAAATCCGTACTTAAAGTTTAAATTGCTCTCTGCTTTCCTTTCTAAATTTCTGTTGCACTGTATTTTTATCATCAAGAACTTCGCTGCTTTAAATTCACTTCGCAAAACTTGAATTTAATGTAATAATTTATAATCATCATTAATAATATTTAAATAATGATTTTCAGCAGTGAGACACGACGTTAACACCAGTGGATAAACTACATAACTACAATAATTTAATTAAATTGACAGAGATAATTAAATAGCGTGATAAAATTGAAGTAAGATGTACGTTTAAAGTTAGTACTTTTATTTAATAAAAATCTTCCATTACTTCGGTTTGTATTACATTCACTACTATTTAATATTATCGCGTGCTGACTTACACCAGCACTACAGCGATGCACAATAAAGTTTTCACGTTCCAAATTTTTGTTCTTAGAATTTATCATCCCCTCTGCTGGAGAAAATAAATTTACCTACAGTCAGAATGATCATGTAAACTGCAGATGGCGCAGGATATCACTAAAAGGAAAGTATGGCCAGATACAGTGTCGTTTCCCACAGTACCACATCACATTTTCGCACGGCCGCCATGTTCGTATTCATCATAGGTGTTTATAATTGTACAGTTATGAGATGGTGTCTCAGGACTTGTTGCTCGTACCAAGTTTCATAAAAAGTTGAAAATTCAAACAAATGACGTTGGATGCTGCCCACTCACCAAAATGTATGTGCAAGTTGGGAGATAATTAAGTTTTACATTCACGAAACTTATGCGATTCCATGGCATTGCGCGATTGGCCCAAGGGAAATCTTTCACATCAACACATACTTTAAAATGTGTACTATATATGTGGTATAAATAGAACATAAACATTTTAAACCCTGTGTAACTCCAATGTCGTAAATAACCGAAAATCTAGCCTACCACAGTTTATACTTTAGCTTTTTAAAAGTCACTTGCCATTCCTTTAAAAAAATAAATGCTACATTACAGTTCATATCTCTATTACTGTCTAGAACAAGAGAAAAATAGTGCTTATACGCCCATAACAGTTTAGAGACTCATTAATCTTTCATAGCACATAAAATATTCCATAATTCCTATTGTGTTTGGTTTCCTCCTAAAGGAATAATAATTTATTCATGTTACAAGCGACTATGTCACATAGCGCGCGTTGTGTGCGCTCGTACGTAGGCCGACATTCAGGTTATCGATTCACTTTCGTTGTACTGAACCCCTGGAGACACTTCTATAAAACAAAAGCAACAAAAGTTCCAGTTATGACAAGTTCCTTCTGAGAAATGAACTAAAGCCGACACAAGGAACTCCCGTGTACATTTAACTGCCACAATCGGGATTGTAAAGTTACGTCGGAATGTGAAACAGATCAAATTTCGTCTTCGCCTCGTCGCCAGGTTACACGGCAACATCGTAAATATTTTCTTTCAAATCAGGTGTGTGACGTTAACACAAAAATTGTGTTCTGGATTAAATTAAACTCAGACTAAATTCGGAAAATGCTTGCTTCTATGAAAATCTTCTTCTGCTTTTTTCCTGACTGCTCGCCAGAATAGCAGAGATTAAAACATAATAAAACTGTTGGTTTCTTTCCCTTACTTTGCTTTATTTTACTTTTTATTATTAATTTTTATGGTCCTGAAAATTCGCTTCTTACATTAGCGAAAGAACACAGACTGTGAGTGACAACAGAGAGCTCAAAACAATTTGAATCTAAAAGAAATAAAGTGATACCAAAAGAATAATCACAAAAAGTTCCTTAATTTTGACTTTTCAACGATTATTATTAAGATTAAATCAAGCAAGATGAGAGCATTATATTATAACAGAACGTAAATATTTCATATAAGTAAGCTAAGGCCCGGGACAGAGTAATGGAATGCCCTGTGGAGTAACACAATGCAAACGAGGATTAAAAAGACCAAAACAGAACACTGTTAAAATAAGGAAAATTACGACGTAATTTACAGGTAACGTGGCTTAGAAAGGTTTATGTGGGCCTGTCATTAAAAAAAAAAAAAAAAAAAGGGGGGGGCTCAGTAGAACTGACGGATGGATTTACATGAGTCAACTGCAGTCAGTTTGTACAAACCACGTTTTTGTCCTCTGCTATATTTTAATCAAAATAAATATCAATTTTTGAAAACGTCACCAAATATACCACAAACACTGGTACATTCCTTCAACGCCGTTACCAAATACCAGCTTTTTTCCCCTGTAGTACTTTGGCTGTGACAAACGCTTCACAGAAATATGCTACCTCCATTAAAACTTCAGCCCTGATGATGGAGGTGGTATGTTCTCCAAAAACACTACCCAGCGCCAAAATACAACACGGTGCATCAATTCATGTAATCGATTGGTTTGGTTCATTTTAACGGGGCTTCCACACCCTTAAATTACATAAAATTTGACTACTACCACTTCCTTCCAAATCCTTTCCAATTCACTATCATCCTCTTATTCGACGCTACATAGTCTAAGCTACTGAAAAAGCGTCGTTAAACAACCATAAATAAATATATGAAGTGAGCATTACATTTCGCCATCTAGTAGTGTGACCATAGAATTACACGTCCATGAGCTAGTCTTGGCGCACTCTGTACGGTAAACAAGAAACCAAATACTAATCCGAGACCAACCACAGAGCCGGGTCGAACATGAAGCTCCAAAATTCGGACCGACGGTGATGACGCAGCAGATACAAGACAACGTGATACAACATCTCAGAAGGCAGTATAAACCATTACCACGTCCTTTCAAATCACTATCTACTCACCATTCTTCATCACAAATCAGCTGACGCTTTGTTCTAGCGGCATCGTTAATTAAGAACAGATACCCTATCGTCACCACCGAGTGCCAAAGTCTGAAATAGCGTCCAACTTTTCCTTTTGTTCACAACTACGCCTCAACAAAGAACAGAAATTCTAAGTAGCAACCGAAATATCGTATTTTTGCGACGCACGGGCAAATTTAACTACATGAAGCATAGAGACTTTTTAATTTCGCAAAACACGCGCTTAATGATTAACCGCCCTTTGAGTCACTCATAATACCTCATGCAATGAAATGACAGACTGTCGACAGTAAAGATTACGCCCAGATTCTGGCTTACATATCCCAGACAAGACTTCCCCGTGGGTTGAGACGGTCGGAGCGTGGCTCTGACGATCTGCTCCATTTATAATCACGAATTGCGGTGATGGGTTGTCATGAGATCTGAAGCTAACGCTTTGGAATTAGTGAAAATTAGTCAGTCATGAAGGAGACTGGACTTTGTTGACCCAGGACAGGGCTTTGGTTCATTCGGTGATGAACCTTCGGGTTCAATAAGCCATCTAGTTAGTTAGTCGGTTGTGATGTCTCCTGAACAGCCGCCTCTTTCTTTAGCGGACCTTAGCAAACAATGAGTTTGACCCACGGATTTCAATAATAATGTGGGCTTTTGCCTCCATGCCCCTTCATGTACGTAACTTACAACCATTACAATTTCCTAAATACGCTAAATATCGTCTGAAAGCATGTAGTTGGCACGTGTCCCTCAGCAGACTTGCTCACACTAAAAGAATGTTAGTCTTCATAAACAGTGCAGTTTTGGCACGTGTGGGGCAGCCCATTCACCTCACCACAAAGTTTTTTATCTGTACTCAGAGTTTAACGTTCCAATTACTACGAAACATGATCAAACACAGTACTTCGACCAGATAAAAAGTCTTTTATGGAACCTAAAGGTTCTTTACATGTTCACAAGAGCCCGCCACTTGCCAGATGTATTGAGCCCGTAATATTATTTATTCGTATTTGCTAACGGCTTATTTAATGAAGTTATCCATAGCATGTTTTCAATTAAAATCATTTAAAAAAAATTGTTTTCTAAATAAAACTCCGTACAGAAAGGATTAAATAAATGCATGGCGTATATCTACTCACAGCAATGGTGTTTTCTTTCCACGTGGCCACGTAGAGGATCCTTGCAGTTATTCCTTCCGTCACAGACCGCACAATGTACGCCTTCTTGCGATCAACTCACCAGCGTAATATCTCCCGAGGGTGCCATTAGATGTTGCGCCATCTGAGACACACGGCCACAGGAAATGTAACGTATATAGCTCCCGATATTAACCGGATCAATTATATGCATTACCTGTGAAAAGGATGACAACTTTTAGAAATGTATGACAAAGTTTTGGTCCATGCCTGGTTATGCTCATTATTTGTTTGTTTATTTGTAATGTATTTAACAATGCTGTCACATAAAGACAGTGACAGACTGTAATAACAAACATTCTACTCACATTTAAGAACACGTAAATAAAGTTCAGACGTATAGTTTATTTTTGTTGGATATTAAATGTAATAATTTAGTGTCTGGTATTCTTTTCTTAATACCAAGTCACTTATAAAAGTTATAAGGATTCCCTTGTGTGTGTGTGTGTACCAACCTTATATGATAAACCTGCATTACACATTATTTTTTTATTTAACACGTCATTGGAGTTTGACAACCATTTGATGTTGGCTGGCATTCAAGGTGGCCAGGTTATGTGTCATAGAGGGCCTTAGCCTTGCAGCAAAAATTGTACATTTCTCCTCCTAAATGTTCTATTGGAAACTTGGCAGTCTTTGTGAAAACTGAAAATAGCCACTTAAATGCGTAGTCATTCAAGGCTTAAAAAGCATTACATTAAATTTCCCGCTCAATGTCCACTATCTGCACAATATTTAATAAGTCGTAGAATACAACTGTGGTGTATTGTAATTAACTTTATATTTTAAACATAATTTATAACTTTATAATTTCATAGCAAATTTAATGTAATGTATGTTCGTACAAATCAAATGTTTTCTTAGGTTATGTACCTGAATAATTCCTTGGCAAGCAACTTCCTGTTTCAAAATCGCACGTTACAAGGAAAGTAACCTCAAGCAAGCTGGGAAGCTGTAGACTGCATACTCCTTGTTGGTGCCACATTTGTTATTGTATCAATTTGCAAGTAGTAATATGGCAGATGGACCAACACAGAAAGTAAGTATTTACAGAAATTAAGTTTTCATGTTTCCTTGCAGTTTCTGAAACGCGAAACATAAAAGCGTTGACAGAGGAGGGAAGTATCAAGTATGTGTATTCTAATTTGTAGTACATGTATTATAGCTAAAACGTATTCCATTGAATATACAAGAAAGACACCAGCGTTGCGTTAAATTAAAACCCTTACTTTATGTTTGTAAATTCGACTTACCAATCTGTCATTGTGATACTATGTGGCATCCATTGTAAAGTTTTTCATTTGTTCGGTAAATGAACTGAATAACTTTTAACAGTTGAATTACGGTTTGCACCGTCATTTTTTATTGTAACAACATTACCTCATCAAATTAATCTAATTTTTCA